GGACAGAGAAAAGGGAGAGAGATGGAGGAAAAAAAAACTTGATCAAAAGACAAGATGTTCTCTTGTGGTGTTGTTTAGTGCGAGTGGATTCTATACCAAACTCCTATTCAAATGGTGTGGTCTTCATTTCTGTCCCCCTCGTCATCTCCGTCCTCTTCATCTTTTCATCAAGATGGACCGTGTAATGAGGGAAAACTCTGGTCATTGTGGAGCGGTCAAAGGTTTTCTGCCTTAATGAATGGAAGAAACACAAGAAGGGCTGAAAGCTCCCCCTCATTCCTGTTTGCCTTGCCGCAAAAGCCCCAGGATGCCTCCTGAAGAAGGCCTCCTCCATCCATCTCCGTCTCATCTCTTGTTAAAGGGGGCATAAAGCAAAGGCAGAGGGGAAAAGTAATTTTCTTCTCCTGTCTATCCATTCTTTTGGTGGGCTTCTGCCACTTTCTGCTGTGTACTTTCATAAAGCTTATAATTATCTTGGTGAGAGCCCCTCAAGTGAGAACGAATGGAGTCTTTGTACCCTTCTCTCTCCAGTCCTCTCCTGTTTCTGGGAAGAAGGAAGTCATATTAACATTTGGTCTGTCCTTTTTACAGATGCAGCGAGAAAAGCCAGATGTGTCTCTAAAAAAATCCCATTTAACGAAACTTAATTTGACAAACGGATTTTCAGAGTCACAGCTGAGAGTGTCAGAACAGGACAGGGGGAGGATGCAGTAACTGAAGGGAGCTTTCAAACTTTCATCACATTTACTATTTACCCTACTCTAATTAGCAGAGTGGCCAGTTTCATTGCAATGTGCTATGTTGTACAAAACTAGAAAGTGAAAGAAATGTGCTATTACAATGATCTTTTTGTATTGTTACCTTTTTTTAAATAAATTTATAACAATGTACAAGCCCTAGAAAATCATTACAAGTTCAGGGACTACCACCAGGTATAGCAATATCAACATATTTACTGACCTGGCAGCAGAGATGACTGTTTTTTTGGGTGAAACTACCATCAATCCACAACCTTCCTCCACTCACTCACCCCTCTCTCCATCCCCAACTCTTTCGGCTGATTACTCCTAATGTAATTTTAATTAAAAACTGTGGTGTCAAAGGGTTTAGCCTGCCTGAGAAGCGGGTGCAGATTGTGGCTCAGTGGCAGACCCCTTCACTTGCTTGAGAGGAAATACATCCTGACATTGCTCGCGTGGTGCCAACACAACCAGAGCCAGGTTAAGCAAATAAGGCTTTCTGGTCCATGTGGATGTGGATATGGAGCAGTGTATCCAGGCACAGTGGGATTTCAAATACTAAGGCTGATTTAAACTATTGTAAAAAAAAATATATATAATCAGTTGCATGCTTTTTAACTTATAAATACCTGGTTATTTAATTATATGCTGTAAGACATGATAAATATCATCATAATTAAAAAAATAGTTAGTATCCTTCCTCGTCTGTCACACACAGCAGGCCTGGTTAAAGATGAGTAAAACAGGAAGTCAGAGGGACTGATGATGTCTGATTTTTTTAAACATAACAGAGGCTCACGCTTACTTAATTATCAGTAATTCTGGCAAACTGTCACCATCACAATTCCAGACAAATAGTTACAAGAGAAGGTGTGACTCATTCCTACATGAAGATACACTGACAATGATTGGCACTTCGAACATTTCACGGGGGTGACCCGAAGAAGGCGCCCCACAGCAGGACTCAACAGCAGAGGTCTGCCTGAAGGTTTGTAATCCCCTCACCCGAGCTGTTGGATTATCTGCTCTCCACCGACCCTGAAGAGGCTCCCCGTGGCTCAGGCTTAAACACTCTCAAAAAAAAATCTCACCTCCACACTCCATCTGCCGGCCGAGCGACGTCTTGGAAGTCACAGATACGGAGGAGTGGGGGACGAGGTTGCAGAGGAGACGATGGAAATCAGAGCGCGTCACCTCCTCCCTTTCGCTGTGGCTCTCTGCAGCAGAGAGGAGCCTCTGACGTACAGTCTGACTTTAGCATACTGCTCTTCAGAATCACTTGAAGCTGTGATCTCTTCTACTTGTTGGAGTAAAGGCTTTACCTCCCACGTTGCAACAGATATTCCTTCACTTTTATCAGTGCATTTCATGGAGTCTTTGTTATATTTTCATAAATAAGATGCAGAAATCCTACATCAGCATCAACAGTTTTTCTTTGACTTTTGGGGTCAGTGTCAATGACCCTTTAACATTCTCTGACAGGGGCCTTGTTTTGTGGCCAGTTTGTGGACAGTTGGAAGAGCTGCTGGTTGGCCCTGAGCAGTGAGGCATGAAGTAAGAGGGTTTAACTTTGCTAACCTCCTTCTGCCAGGTTCAGGGGCCCCTGCTGCTCGGGTAATATTGGCTCAGTGTTGGGAGTCCGTGCCCCTGCCATAACAGCCAGCATGCTACTTGGGGTAGTGAGCACTTTTCAATATAGGGCCAACTGGACCTGGACAGGGATTAGTTACTGTGTTATCTCCCGAGGTCCCAAAATATAAAATGTATTTGATTTTGTACAGGATTTGATTGATTATATTGTTTCAGAATATCTTTATAATCTTTCATGACACAAAAGATCACCAACAGATGTGGTTGTTCAACAAGGTTTCTAACGAATAACAAATACATCTCATGGAGTTAAGATGTCTACCTTTAATAGCTGACTTTCAAGATTCTACCCTGTAGAACAAAATACAGCACATATTTTACTTTAGTAATTGTTTTTGATGATGCTGAACAGAGTGGAGCAACTGAACAACATGTTGAACAGTTTAGATTTTGTGCTACCTCTCGCTGTAGGGTTTGTCTTTGAGAACAGTCAGTAAGTGGATTAATAAAACTACTTGTTGGTAGTTTAGTGTTTTACAGGAGGACTAGTTTTGTATGCCACCTCTCATTGCTATGCATTTGTTCTCTTTTTACTGACATCATAAAAAAAGAACACTAGGGAAGAGAGACGTGTATTTTCCTCAAGAGGTTCTCTCTAGGGGAGTTAGCTTCCCCAGGAAAAAATATATAGATATTGTGTATATTGTGAAAAGTGGTGTTTTTTAAATTTGGTTTATGCCACTACAATTATTGCTTTTATAATTATGTGCCACTTGCATTTTGTGAAAAAAATAAATAATAATTATAAAAAATAACAATTTGTCTCACACATTTTTGCTATAGTTGCTATTCACTGTACCATAGACGTTTTTAGAAAATTAAATTGAAATATTTGTTGAGCCAGACTTAAACTTGAATTTATTTTGCAGAGCCATTTTATTTGCAGGATGAAAAATGTCAAATAATGTTCATTTATTGTCAATTATTTAAGAGAAATATATATATTTTAGTTTTTCAGGTTTGGTTGCTGGTTTCGGTGGTTGTTCAATCATTCGAATAAGCTGCACTTGGCCCTGCGCTGGATACTTGGCTTAAGCTGCAGTTTGAGGAAATCTGCTGATATTAAAATCTGCAGATGTCCACCTAATGTCAGGAGGGATGGCAACAGAAAAGCGAGCTGTTTGCTGGGGCTTGGGGATGTGTGTGTCCATCTGCCTGTATATATCATCACTTTCTGTTTGGTGGCCTTTGATTTGTAGTGAAAAAAATATGTAATGGAAGTTGCAGCATTAGTCAGAAATCTGTGAGAACTTCATATGGACAGTTTCACTATACAGTCTCGCCTCTCTGTTGGAAGGGTGTGGGTGTTAAGGCTCATGTTTGTGTATGTGGTTTGGATGTGGAGGTGGGTAGAACATGCTTGTTTCTTATAGTGAAACTATATGTGTGATTATTGTGTTTTACTTTAAGATGTGTGTGGGTCTGTAAGTGGGTGCCTGTCACTTTGATTGAAATGTGGGACCTCTATGCATCTACAGCAGACTGTGGTCAGGCTTATTGTGCTCAACGTGCAGTGTAGGTGCCAGTTAAGAGTCACTGTGGTTATGTGTGTGTGTGTGTGTGTGTGTGTGCGTATATATGTGTGTGTATATGTGTGTGTCTATGTGTGTGTGTGTGTGTATGTGTGTGTGTGTCTGTGATATACTTTAGGAAGTATTCATTTCTGACAGAAAATGTTTTTCAATGTAGAACTATATACATTTGAAAAAATAAATCTTGCAAAACTCAAACTGCAAAATGTAGTTTCATTCATTATTGTTTCCTATTCTGTGTATATTATATTGTTCATGATGCTACATACACAGACAACTGTTTTATTTTTTCAACCTGCAGCTTCACATGGGAGTCTAACATCAAATAACAATGGTACCATAGCATGGGACTTTGAGTCAGAAAAAAGTTACACCCGCCTTTTTATAAAAGGTGCAGTAAGAAGTCGAATAAGAGCGAGCTATACCAAATGGAATCAGCAAAATGTTATTCCGGTCCATTTATTTTTCACACTGTGACATATACAGATATATCAGACCGAAAGTCATTGTCAAATGACTTTTAATGCTGTTCATAATTATAATAGATGGACATTAATTCCAGACAAACAAATAAATAAATGATAAAATAAATAAAGTTAAACAAAAAAACTAACAAAAACAAGGTAAAAATGTGGAGAGTAGAACATCTCACTATATAGTGCTGTTCTTCTCAACAGGATCATATAAAACATCATACAAATCTGTACACAGAGTTAAACTGGCTGCTCGTTGACAGTTTTAACAAAAGCAGAATTTCTTACAGGACTATTGTATCATCTTGCATGTAGCTGTTGCAGTTAACTGTGAGGAAATAGCAGTCAAAACGTGTGAATGTGTGATAGTAAAATAACATCTTACGTTATGTGACTGAGTGTAGACGATACTTCTTTAATATCTATACATGAATGAACATATTTTGTTAGTTAAGTAAATAATATGATGATGAGTATTATAATGATAATGGTTATTATTATTATTACATGCTTTTCTTAGGCAGGTGCTCAGTATAGAGTCTTTTATATACAGTCTATAGTACAGAGCCGTAAACTCGGATCCATTACACGCAAACTCTGTACGTGACTCTGGGATTTGTAGTTTTGCATACCGTGCAGTTACGTCAGCGGAAGTAGTTTGAGCAGACGTGAGCGAGGTCACATTGGTCCAGTGTTGTAATGTTTTGAGAGACATCACCGTCATGGAGGCAGTCAACGCAGGTATTCTACATTTCTGTGTGAAACACAGGACGTACTTTTATCAACACGACGTCAGCTAAGTACTCTACGTAACTGTTCTTTGTGGTAGAGCTTTACTCAGCTCCATGCATTCAGGAAACACCTCCCAGTGTTATGTAGACTGGAGTAGCTAGCTATGTAGCTAAAGGTAAAGATGGCTAACTCTGCGTAAGATCATCATTTATATGTTCGCTCAAAGATACACTCTGCTCCTTACCTTGACTTGACGCTGTTCTGAATGTAATGGAACGTCATGGATACAGAGATGATTCTTGTTTCTCATGATAATGAACATATGAGGATTTGAACTGGAGCTCGTGGTTCCCACTGTTTACACGAGTCTTCCTTTTTCTTTTGGCTCTGCCCCCTCAGAGGAGATCCAGCTCAGGCACGTGGAGAAAGATGTCCTGATCCCCAAGATGATGAGGGAGAAAGCCAAAGAGCGCTGTGTGGAGAAAGTACAAGGTGTGTGTGTGTGTGTGTGTGTGTGTGTGTGTGTGTGTGTGTGTGTGTGTGATCCAGGCTGAGACTGCATCTGTCCCTTACCCCAAAGTTCATCTCATTCATGAAAACACAACCACAGCCAGCCTTAGCTCGAGCTTTAGCTGGTAACATCTGTAGCTGAAATTAAAATGTGTTTCCGTCACACATCATCCTGTTTTTGGATTTAAACTGGATTCCCGTAGTTTCTTTTTTTATCCTCACACAAGCCCTCAATGCTTTTGGATCCATCATGAAACTAGAGAAAAACTTAAAGGTTTTTCTGCTGTAAGTCCAAAAGTTAAATAAATCTGATTATCTGTTCTCCAGAGTGTTTGATTGAGCTGCAGTTTCAGGGTTCTGGTATTTTTACAAATCAGCTCTGTCAACTGAACCACTATTAATGTGATTAGTAACTTCTGTGCTTTTCCTGTATAATTTAATACAGTTGAGCTGTTAGCGATAGCTTACCATGATGCATTTCTTATAAGCAGGATGTATTTCAAGGCACGTTCATACTTGTGATGGACTCATCATTAAAGCATTAAAAATAAAAAAAGAAATGCATATTGCACATACAGTGAAAGCTTAAATTCCACCAGGTCCGCCTTGTTTGCTAATGCGAGAATTCAAATTTTTTTCCCTCTTGGAGGACGACACACAGAGGTACAAAAAACCCCGAACAAAACAGGGGAAGGTGTGTGTCAGTGATACTTGCTTTAAAAATTGTCAAACTAGTTATTAAACACAATAAAAATGTTTCCTAAACTGAAATGCTTACTGCTGATGATTGTTTTAAATCAGGAAATTCAAAGTAATGTTTTCAAGGCAATGACGTAAGTCGTTTTAGCTAGGTGTACCTAATAAACTGACAACATTGTATCAGTATATTTTTCTGAGAATGTCTGGTGTGAACAAACCTCTTGAGGTTAATCCACAGCAAAGCAGCTCTACTCACACATACCCTCATGAACTGACACACAGTGACGTCTTTTTGTCCTGTCATGGACACCGTGCTCCATTCGAGTGTTGCTCAGTTAAATTAATTGAAACCTGTGTGACTCATAAACAAAATCCAATTCTGACTTGTAGTTGTAACTCTGGGCCTTAATCATCATTCTGCATTGTGCTTGTGGAGTCATCTAATCTGGACCACTCTTCCGATGACTACATAAATCAACGTTTTGTGATCATCAGTGATGATCTTTTTTGTGAGGCATTGTTTCCATCACCAGATTATTTTTGTGAATGTGAAAATTCAAAATGAGTCTTCTATATCAATCAAAGTAGCTCTAACCTTCACCTACAGACTTGTTTCATTAACTAGACTCCATGTTTGCTACGTACTGACTCCTCGGCTTTTTTGGGGTTTTGTATTTAGCCTGATAGTTCATGTACTGTTTCTAGCCTGCTAAGTTAATACTGTATTTAAGTGACAACTGCTAGGCCCAAACAAAATGTGAATGTTGGTCAGGGGCAAGGGCTTATGACTTGGTCTGAATTAATAACCCTCGTGCCGACATAGCTGGATGCATGGTTTTATTTTTGCCTCTCTCTTTCTCTCTCTTTCTTTTCATGAAAAAATAATTAATTTAGACACAAGATTCAGAAAATGTTGTAATCAGTGTAGTAATGTAATATTAATAACCTTTGCAACCTATATCTTATGAGACACAATCTTTAGCTTATTTGGATTAACCTGTCAATCATTATCATATGATTTATGACTTCTTGAAGACTTTATCATGAAATGGCAATATTGCGATATAAAAAGTTAGCATTGCCTGACTGGGGTATGTACAGCAAACACACAAAGGGAATGCATCGTTTCTTTCATTTAGGATTCAGCTTTGTTGTGAATCATCTCAAGAGCTTCACCGTCGTCACTGTAGTTACTCTTGGTCCGGAGCAATACACCTGCCATGACATAGTTTTGTCCCCTTTCCCATATAATTGTGCCGTTGTAGTTGAGCTCCACCTGTCATGTACATGCTGCAAATTGTCCGGGTGCCTCTCTGTCTTTGTTATGTAGATCTGCGGTGTGTTCAAATTGGACAAGAACAATACAAAGATTTTTGTTTAAAATACACTATTTATTCATAATTATAACAAAGACGATGATCTGATTTTATTTCAAGACATATGTATACATACATAATTTACTCACTTTTGCTTTTTCTTACCTAGAAAATAAAACCCTGCACCAAAAGAAATTCAGTCATTGTCTTTTCTAGAATTTAAAAAAATAATCTTTATGCAATAATATTTGTTGTTAATTATTGTTTCCGATTTTAAAAATTGTGCTACCAAAACCTTATTATCCTCAGTGTGAGTGAGCAATGGGTTAGCATGTCATTTTCATATGAGAGGATTATTGATTTAGTTTCCGATTCAGATTTTTACAATTGTTCTGGAGATTAGAGATTTTAACTATTAACATTCAGTTGTTATTAGTTAAGCATCACAGGATACTGCCACTTGTCACTTTGGTTCATTTTTATGTTCTCAAGAGAAATAAGGAAGATTTGACGAGGCTGGAAAACAATGACATACAGAGAATTCAACTGTGTTTCAGATAATATGAGGATATGAGTTATTGTTTAAACCTTTTTCAGACTGCAATAAATAAATAATAATAACAAAAGCCCATTCACAATGCTTTTGTCTGAGAATGTGCGGCTCCATAATTTAATTTAATGCATTAAAAAAGAAAGATATCATTCTGTTGAGTTTATAGTTTATAGCCATACAAACCCCTCACTCGTCTGACAACATTGAAGATGTATTATTGAGGCTTTTGATGTTAATTCATTTTCAAATTTAAGCTTTTGGTTGATTTGTTCACGCTTTCATATTGTTTATAGAAATGTGGCTTTTGTAGCTCAATCTGCAGTGTTTTAATTGTTATTTTTCTCTGTCCCGTTAAGTTTCTTCTCTTTGTTCCTTTGCCCTGACCTTTTCACGGTTTCCTGTAGCTGCAAACACCCATCTCTCGAGTCCACTTATTTTCCCCGAATTGAGGCCAATTGGCATCACACCAGCTGCCGCTTGATGTGCATGTTAGAGGTGGCTGTAGCTCTGCTCAGACGTGCCCTGTCTGCTTCAGCAGCACCTCAGCCCCGACACTGACTGGGTTATGTGGTTTCTAGAAATCAGAAGACTGCCTGAGTGGCATGCTCTTGCATACGGACGATGCACCTGCATGCCTGAGGTGGTGGGACACACAGTGGAAACTCCCCTCACATTACTAGCTTCTCGTCCCACTCGTTTTCACACCTCCGTCCTCCGCCCTCTATCATCTCATCCTTTATGTTTGTGTTGGCACTGGGCTCCCAGTGTCTGTGATTGTGTTTTACAAAGAAAAGTAAATGTTATCTTTCGCTCTCTGCGCTTACATGCCTGTACACACCACACGGCTGTACACGGCTTCGTTGTTGGAGCAGACACCTACGAATGATCCGTACACAGCATCTTTGTAGTTTTGCTTTACCTGACATGATTTTTCTTTCTGTGCTGATGATTCATGTCGGCATTCTCACGTTTCACGTCTTTCAAAAACAAACAATTTGATCAACCCACACAAAATTAGCAGCTGCTTTCACACTGACATGGACACCTGTTTTAGCAAGACTTAGATTTGTAGAAGCTGCTTGTAAATTAGGTTCATTAGGTCTGTTTTTGAATCTCCAGACTCAAAATATGAAAAAAAAAAACTTATAAAACACCAACTTTAAAACTAGTCAAAGTAAAATTCTTTATCAGTTTCATTATCAATTCATTGAATTTTTCAGAAATACACAAAATCACTCAACATCATGACGTATATTCCATTATATCTAATTATGTATTGGAGGTTCACACCTCAGGCCCCTAGCTTCTGCTTTGTTCCAACTGCCAAACTGCATTTCTCCATCTTTAAAAATGGCACACCAGACAGCCTAGAAGTGAAGGTGCCATCACACGTTTGTTTAGAGGGGCCCGTTGTGATATATTCTGATACAAAGTCAGTCTCATATTTTTGCCTTTGGTGTAGCTGCACTCGCAGAGGCACCTCCTCTGCAGCCTCCATTAGTACCACGGGACAGGGATGAGGCGTCCGTTGATTAGATTAGTCGCACTGTTGTGCTTCTCTAAATTGGTTTTGCTGTTGTTTTTTTTTTTCACATCTGCATCCTGATGAAAGTCTCTGTGTGATAACCATACTGATGTCACTGATGTAGGTAATTATGATGTCAGGTTTTAGTAAAGGGGACATGGGAGGGCAGTGGTTTTAATTAAAGACTTGAGCAAGAGCTTGCTAACAAGGTGAAGACTCAGAGTCTTCAGCACCTTGTTTACAATGAGGACCTTGTAGGTTTAATATGGAAAGCAGCACTAGTCAGTGCACAGTGTCACCGATGCAGCCTTTCAGGAGGGACTTTTGAATTTGTATAAGTGACAGTCACATATAATACCTCTGCAAAAGCGGTTAGTTTGTCACCCCTGTGTGGTTGTTGGTTTTGTTTGTTCAATGGTAAACAAGATAACACAAAAACAACTAAAAGGATTTACACGAAACTTGATGGAAGGATGTGGTATGCATCCATAACAACTCATGAAATTTTGGTGCAGATCAGGGGGCACATCCGGGAAGTTTTTCTCTCACTCTTTAACATTGCAAGATTAGGTGTTTTGCGTAATGTTCTGCTTTCCCAGGGATTTATTCATGGATTTTGATGAAAATAATCAGCCATATTTAAATGATAGCTATGGGTGTGTGTAATGTGGTTGAATTTAAGGGGACTCTTGGGGCTAGGTGTAGGTGTGAGTTTGAGTGAGTGACTTCTAGTATGTATTGGTATTTTATGTGTATTTGACCAGTGTTTTTCAAAGTGGGGGCCGCGGCCCCCTGGGGGGCAGCTAGGGGGCCCTAAGAAAACAAAATGCAAAAATAAAAAAATGAAAATCATTCAATCATTGTCATAAAATATAATTGAAATATATATAGAATCGAATATGTTATTTGCCATGCTAATTTTCTGATTGCCTGCCAGTCCAAACATCATTCATGACATAAGAAAAAACATTCTAAAAGTTGATGTTTTTGCAAAGAGGGTCCCCTCTAGCAGAAGCTAATGCTGTTTGGGGGGCCATGGCATGGAAAAGTTTGGGAACCCCTGTATTAGACTACAGCCTGTATACAGGACAGTGGCTGAGAGGCACTGGAGGGGCCTGAGCTGTTATCTCTATAAACAGATTCTGATTGTGAATATGGCTGGCTGCACATAAACAGTCCATGTGGGGAGCAAAAGAAGCAGAACACGTTGACGAAATGCATCTGCTTCTTAATTTATCTGCATTCATTTGCAGATGGCTGTTAATAGAAATGAGTCAAAATGTCCCTGGACCAAAAACACCTACAAAAATTATCACTGTTTGTATTTTGTGTGGAAAAACCTTGTGATAAAAGAAACTTGTGTACGAAATCCTGGCCCAGATTTTTGCTACACTGAACGCCCTAAAATATTAGCCATTGCCCCCAGAGGCTGATTTGTCATCAGGTTACAGACGATGCGTTCAGAGATTGCCTCATCTGCAGCAAATATTCAATATTCTTAAACTGGATTTAAAGGTACAGTGTGTAGAATTTAGTGATATCTAGTGTTGGAGTTGCATGTTACAGCTGAACACCCCTCACCTCACAATCTCCTTCCAAACATGAAAAACTGTGGTAGCCTTTGTCATAAAAACTCAAAAGGTGTTTAGTTTGTCCAGTCTAATGTAAAAAACATGGCGGCCTTCGTAGAGAGGGTCCCCTCGATGTAAATATAAAGTATTTCAATATAAAGGGCCTTTATACAATTTAGATAAAACTAACTAGTGAAAACATCATGAGGATTATTATACATTACATTTCTGACAATAGTTCCCTTTCACCCAAATCTTACACGCTGCAGTGTCTAAAAGTCACAACTTAATACAATCATTTGTCTGGCAGCTTTTCTGTATCTATGACAGACACAGGCAATGTCACATTTCACTCGTCTAATAATGTTGGGCCTGTGATTTCTGGAAACAATCCTTTTTCTGGCCTAGTTATTGTCAAGACCCTGGGTACCCTTGGGTGCTGTGATCAGCGAAGCACAATTTATATTTAATCCGTGGGTGGTGGGTGAGGCGTGTTTATATTTGCGGGTGGTGGGCTGACTGTTAAGAGCCATCGTAGAAACAGAACGACCGCAGATACATCCTTTGTGCCCAGTACACTTCAGTGAAGGAGGAAACATGGGTTTCAGGTTGATAAGAGGCTTGGCAACATGACCTATAACCAGGTTCCTACTTGTGGTGGAGTGCGAACGTTATGTGCATTTTGGTTTGCTATTGTTCACATTGAACACCACACACCCACCCACACCCACCCACCTACCCACACTCACACACACAAACCCACCCCCACCCACTTACACACACACGCTAATTTCTTCTCCATCCTTCCTTTGTCCATTCAGCCTTCGGCAACTGCTGTAAAGACTCTGGTTTTTTCATGGTGTTTAAGTGTCGAGAGGAGAATTCAGCGCTGAAGGAATGTCTGACACAACAGTGAGTATTTTGCTGTTTGGCTCTGCATCACTTGCACGCTTAAGTGACTCTCAATGTGTTATCCCTCAAACACCTTGTGATAAGACTTACCCAGTCTGTCTCACCCTTACTGACACTCCAAACTCTTCAGTCAAAAATCATATAATCGCCACCATCGCCATCATGATAATCAGATCAGACCACATTCAGTCTGTAAAATAACTCTGTTACGTCTGTCTTCCACCAGCTACAGGGACCCTGTGTTTTTCGAGGAGTGTAAGCAGGAGTACATTCAGGAGAAAATGCAGTTTGAAAAGACGGGGATCCCTATGAAGAACAGGAAACAAAAACTCCCAACCAGCATGTAATGAACAACATGACACCTAAACGACTTTCCTCCTCCATACCAATGATACACGGTCATCTGACAGGCCTTATTTCTGTTGAGACACATGGTATTTGTAACTGAAGCTGCTGTGTGACTGCTACATAATCAATAAACAATTGTTATTTTCTGTATATTTGATCTGTTTCACCTGAATCTGCAGCATTTACCAATGATTTTAGTGATTGATGAAACTGCAGCACTTTGGCTTTGGAGGCTTGGATGCAGTTGTTAATAGATTGATGCTCAATATTTGCTGTGGTAATGACGAGTGTGGTAAGTTTCCACTGCTTGCATGTGCTGTTTGTTAAAGAGAAATTATAACTAAACAAAGCCGGTAAGAAAATTGTAAATTGCAACATTGTAAATATTCTGTGGCAGTAAAGTGTTTGTGAAATGAAAGTATGAATCTTTCATTTGTTCATACATTTTATTTCAGATTAAGTTTGACCATCTTCTGTAACATGTTAGAAATATGAATGACTTGTTTTTCAGAGGGGTTTCTTAAAATGGAACTTCATTGAAATATGTCACCGGTAGCAGCTCACAGTCTCAGTATCTTTAATATCGATTATAAAATGTCCATACCTACATTACTGCGGCTCAGTTTCAATTCAGTGTTTTCATATGTAGATGGGGGTTTTTACATTTTACTTTTTTGAAAGTGCTGAATTTACATTAGGTAAGACCACACTGACGGAACAATCGGGAGCTGAATTAACTTCTTGATTTAAATAAATAAGGATTTTCAAGGAGAAGATCACTTTATTTAACTTTGAATGAATGAGGATTATTAAATTTAAAATCAAATTTGGATCATGTTCTTTTACCGTCATAATCCCTTTGCCTTATTGGGTCTTATTGTACTTTTCTGTGAGGCCTCTTAAATCTGCTGTGTTGTATCTGCTGTGTTGTATCACTGTAATACACAGCAACAGGTTGTCTTTCTACTTGTCTCTTTTTGGTGAGAGCAGTTGTAATCAAAAGGCAGTGCAGTAACCATACTTACAATAATTATGTGTCAAAATATAAGTAGACATTTCTCTTTTCAAGGTAGATTTTTTTCTTTCAAGTTAATATTTTTAGGTAGTGAAAAAGCCAATCATAAAAAAATGATATATATATTTTTTAATTGCTTGTTTGCAACAGTTTAAAACTCATAAGGTATTATATTCACAGGTTGTTTCAGCAGCAGCAGCAGTATGGGGGTCTTTAGATAGACAGTAGGAATTGATAACTGTAATATTAGGTGTGAAGTACATGTCTGAAAATGTCCACATAGAAAGGAAGTCAGAGGAAAAAACGTTATTGCTGGTTTCAACTGTAAAGCAGCTTGAATTGCCAAAGCCTACAGTTTATTAAATTGAACCACAGGAGGTCATTGCTAAAAATATGAATGGAGACACAGAGCAGCCTCACATGGTCTCTTCCTTTTTCATTTTGTTTAATCGATCATATTTACAAACAGTCTGAAGTGCAGTAAATCTAAAATATAATCCGTATCTACTGTACATTGCATTTTGGTTTGCAAATTGTTTACAGGAGTATGAAACTACTGCTGTAAAAGAACATTTTGTAAAAATTGGGAACAAAAAGACCACAGTTATCATGAAACAGAATGAAGAAGATGGAAAAAAAACAAAACCTTATCCAGTGACCTCTGGGCCCTTTGTGCTTTGTGCACCTATTTGTCACGTCACAGCTCACATTTCTTCAGGTTCATGCGCTCATTGTCCGGCCACCATTGCAAATAGCTCTTATACAGATCAGGTGTTTTAGGAGATGGGGAGAAAACATGTAAACAAACCAAAACCTATGGTCTGGAGTGCAAAGTTTCGAGTAGTGAAGCCCACCATTTAGATTTATACAGAATTTATGCACAATCTTCCCTCTGTTTTTCTACTGACAATGTGTTTTCTTTTAGTGCAGCCTTCATCCGACTTTTAAAAAGAGAAACCAAAGAGAAATGACCCCCTTCACACAACAACTTACCTTCTACTGCAAAACAAATGTGTCATAGTTCAACATCAGCATGGTACAGAGTTTAGATACATTTCCTATTGTTCAAAAATCTCCACAAACGTAATCAGGTTTCCAAAATACAGCGGAGTGTATGGATTCTATTCCATGAGTCCTTCAAAATAAAAGTCCCACAGAAAAAACACCCCACAATACACAGCCTTACATATACACGTCCCTTTACACTTGAGATATGAAAATGCCACAATATTGTTTGATAGTAGTTATGAGAGGATTGAGTATGTGGTAACAGGCAGCTTTACAGAGGCTTGTGTAACGCGTGAAATTACTGTGGAAATAGTTCAACCTTTTCCTTGTGCCAGTGCAGATAGAGTGTTTAACTTCACAAAGCAATTCATGTTCAGTTCAGTATTATTTGCTACTCATTAAGCAAACTAATCAAAAATATCAATACTGCAACCTCAAAAATGATTTGGTAAGCACGGGTCGACTGACAGCCTACTTTGATAATGATCTATAAGGACTGATAAGAAAATAACGGTCGAGAAAAAGCGTTTATTTGGTAGCAGTTCAAATTTGGATCAAAAATCAGTGATTATCCAACAGGTTAGTGTTTGTCTGTCTCCAGCACAGCACAGACACAAACAAACCAAGTCCTCAGACCTCAACGTTTTCTCCATATGACCATGGCACATACATGGGACTAGATGCCTTGTTTACTTTACAGCGATCAAATGTAAAAAGACCTGCATTTGAGTAAATGCAGTTTTACAAATTCTACTACTATGTGTCCAGCTGTGGCCCCGGTGATCACTGGCCACTATGAATGGAGAACGAGGCCCTTAAAGCCCTATTGGGTTCATTATGACAGATACAGATAACAGGCGGGCGAGAGATTCCCCCCGACTGATCTGCACACACAGGCACGCTCTGTTTGATGTGCGTACATAGACACACACAAGTTCAATTGCTTGTATGCATGCTTGCGCACACTTATACATGTGCATACAAGGACACTAACTCACAGAAAAACTATTGATTCTACCGAGGGTCTGTCCTCGACTCTCTCTCTGCACGGTCAGGTATGTTCACCGATGCAGTGCGCACAGAAATCAATACGTTTACAGAGTCTTGACCTCGAGAGAAGGCTTCCTCTGGCTTCAGTTAGTTCCCACAACTGGTAGGTCTGGTCCAGCTCAGCCCAGAGGAGTGGTCTAATTAACTTAAGGCAGGTTAGGTGGTAGCTATGTGGCAGGGTTGCAGAGTCCATTCATTCATCCATTCATCAATTATCCATCCAGTTACAAACTATTTAATAATCACCTATTATCCCATCAAAGTTCCTCTCAATAGGGCTTGGCCCACTCAGTGTTAGGAGGGCTCCTTGGACTGCAGTTTCCCATTAAGGATGAGGAGTTGGATGCAGCAGAGTGTCCCTCCCAGAACACGGCGTCACTGGGCTTGGGGGGACTGGGGAAGGACCTGGAGCTCTCATCCAGGGAAGCTTGGTTCAATGGAGGCGGGGGAAGGACGACTGAGTTCCCGACCAGAGTCTCTCCCGAGCAGCTCTGGGAGGGCCAGGGCCCGTTGTACCAGCAGTCCTCCTTCAGGCTGTCTGGCAGCAGGGTGCCCGATGGGCCACCAGCAGGGAGGCAGGGACGTCCAGAGCACGAGGGGAGTGGGGGGGCACTAGGGGGACGAGGCACTGACGCCCGGGGGACTGGGTGGTTGTTTTTTTCTACATCATCGAGACACTGGACTGGAACTGTTGAGGCAGCTGGAGAGGAAGTGATGGGAGGAACAGAAGGAAAGAGACAGAGTGAAGGATAGAGGGAGAAAAAATGAGAGTGAAAGGCAATAAAACATCAGATATGGTTGATTGAACAGAGGCAAAAAATGTAAGTCTGCTCAGAACCTGATCACAAGGTGTTAATGGGATGATTTGGGTAATTTCAACAAAGGAAGCCACAGCATCAGTGGTACCATTTTCATCAGGTTTTAAGAATAATGGTGCAGCTTGATGGAATTTACAGGGACTGTTGGGCCTTAGTGGAGGTATGTGCTCTACTGACTGCCATTGTAGTTTTAAAATATCACATTAGTTGCAAAAAACATTTTTTTACTTTTACTTTCACTTTGGGTGCCTTCGTTAAATTAAAAAAATTAACTGGACTTGAACAGCTGCAATTTCTTTTTAAACTGAAAAACCTTTTGCCTGGTATTGTACCAATTTCTGTTGTTATTTACAGGTGAATTAAGTTTAGGTAGCTTAAGAGAAAAAAATCTAAGTAATCTTAATCAACAAAGCCTTTTGAATCCAGACAAGATACTAGGCCTGACGGTATAAGAACACAGCAGTGAGGTAAAATCCATCCATCCTACTCTTCCATGAGAGGGTCTCTGAGTCTAGCATTTGAATAAAAGTGATTCCAAAGGAGGAACATTAGAAGAATACAGATGCACAATACGACTGAATAAATACACAGCTCCCCCTCGTCTCCCTTTCCTTGCCACTCCTGCTTCCCTTATTTTTCTCTCCATCGGTCTCATCAAAGTTACAGGATTACCCTCTTATTCGGTGGAATAAATAGTCCACGATTTATTTTCTTGCCATATTTCGTTCTAATTTTCACCTCCTGGTCTCCTCTGACACTCGGAGGGAATCGACGACAGAGGCAATCTGTTCCAGGGTAGAATACATCAGCACAGAAGGAGGGGGCGAGGTAGGACAGACCATTTCACGACATCCTTTATCAAAACGTTTGAATGCTAAGATAATATCTGCAGTCTCATCGCACCCTTATACAAATTATAATAAGGAGCAGCAAGGGGAGAAATCTTTTCAGTTAGATGGTACTTTAAAAAAAATAAAAAAGCCTTCCCTTAAGTGAGGAGAGGCAGTGTAGTAAATTAGCCACATTAGTTCATGTGTAGAGAAGCAAGGCTTAAAACCATAGATCTGACATCACCTCACTACATTTACATATCTGAAGCAACTATTGTCCATGGATTAAAAAAAAGACGCTCCTTACTGTGACACGTTCCAAAAAGAATTAAGTCCAATATGTATTTTTTGGCTTTTATTAATACTATAACTTAAAGCAAAACGTGACGGTCAAAAGAAAATATCAGAGCCTTTGTCTATATCCCAGCAAA